GCGCCTCGTCCCCGCGCTCGCGCGCGGCGCGGCGGCGCCGCTGCTCGGGCGGCTGCTGCCGGCGGCGCTCGGGGCGGAGGCGGTCGGCGCGGCGATCGTCGCGGCGGCGGTGCCGCGGACGCACGCGATCGGGGCCCAGTGGGTGCTCTCTCACGAGGGGCTCTCGCCCGCAGACCGCCCACTGGCGCTCTTCCCCCACCGCATCCAATCCCTCGGATTCGACGAGATGGGGGGCCTGTTTCGGGGCCACCGGATGGTGGCGTACCGCAACCGGCTAGCACACCTCAGCAGGGCCGGCGTCGGCGGGCCCGCGCTGGGCGGCGCGGGCGGCGCCGCGCGGGGGGGCCTGCTGGCGGCGCGGTGACGGCTGCTGCGCGGGCGCGGCGGGGGCGGAGGGCCTTGGCAGCGCACCTGCATATATAGAGAGATGCACGCCGCTGCAAACCCGGCGCTTTCCTCACTTTTTCGTATTGGCGGGTTTATACAGTGATCACACTCACACGCATGCACACATACACATGCACACACGCGCACGCAACTCATTCACGTGTCACCAGCACTTGCATGGCCATCTGGCGTGCCGCGCGCGCAGAACAACCCAACCAATGCTAAGCCCCGCCTCACAGCTTCATTTTCAGAGCTGTGCCTGGCGCATGCGCGCGCTGCCCGCCTCTCCTGCCGCGGCCGCGGGCGGCGCGAAAGTCGAGCGGCGCAGTCTGCGGCCCTCGCTCCTTGCTAGCACGGGGCAAGGTGGCTGCATGGCGAGCTGCACCAGCCGGCGCCCGCACGACGCGCGCAGCCTGGCGCGGCCGCCAGGGCGGCGACTCCTTGTTTGGCCGGTGCGTAATCCAAAGCCTTGGAGAGCGCGGCTGTTTTGGGCCCGTCCGTGTGTGTGGTCCTTGAAGCGTCCCTTCCCAGCTGGTGCGCCTGGGCGGCTGCTAAGCAACGCTTGCAGCAGTGCGTTGACGCTTACAGGCGGGCACGCCCTGAGCGCGATGTGCGCGTTATTTTGCACGCAGCCGAGCCTGGGGCGGCAGCCCGCGCAGAAGAAAGCCATATCACTACGCACTCCCCGCGGATTGCATACCCTTGCGCCGGCCCATCCCCGCCGGCGCGCGCGCCTCGGCGCCGCCTCCATTGCTTGGCTTCCTGAGCTGCATTCGTGCACGTGGCTGCGCCCCCCATATTTGCGCGCGCCGCCTTCCCGCCCTGTCCACCCGCATGGCGGGCTCACAGGCGGGGCAGAGGGGGCCCTCTTGGCGCCAGCCTGGTCCCCTGCATCGGCAGCCGAGGCGCCCGTCTTGCTTTCCGTTTGCGTCGGTTGGAGGCAGCCGGCGCCGCTTAATCGTCGCCCTGCGTGCCGGGCACGCCTAGGTCCCGTACAGATGCCGGCCCGACAGAGCTAGGGTAGATCTGAGCGTCCCAGCCTCGGCCCTGGGCCGTCCCAGAGCCCGACGCCTAACGACGCCACCTCTTGATCGTGGCGCCGCCTCTTTTAGTAGGCGAGAGCACCCCCCTTCACTCCCTCCCTCCCACTGAGTGGTGTAACCCTGGTGGTCTGCAGCAAATCCGAGCCCCGCCGGCAGCCAATGAGGGCAGACGCACAGGCAGCGACCATTCGAGTGTGCAGCACACCTCACGAGAGCGCCGGCAGGGATGCCCGCACAACGGCCAACGGGACATCACACCCGTGGCTGTGCGGGGCGGTCTTGCGGCTGCGGAATGTTGACTGGATTACTACCTTCCTGTTTCATAGCGACTCGCCCATCACTGACATACACGGCTCGCGCAAGCTCAAATAAGTGGCTCCTAATTGCCAGGGGTTTTTCTAGGCCCGGCCGCACCGCCCGCCTGCTAATGACGCGCCTACTGCTGCCCTCCACTGTGCAGCGCCTGCCCCTGCGCCATCCGCGCCCGCAGGCTGTCCAGCGCGCTGCCGCCCCCGCCCGCCCGCGCGCCGCCTCCGCCGGCTGCGGGTGGGGCCGCGGGCGCGGCCGCGCCGCCCGCGCTGCTAGCC